TGCTTGTCTTTCCAATTGTCTTGCTACCTCATCAACTGAGGCTCCTGATTCTTTATCAGTTTCTTGTCCTGCAGCTGACCCTTTACTATTCTTCTTCCGTCTTTTTTTCTTCATTGCCTCCTCATTCATAGAGGCAGCACCCTCCTCCCTGTCGTCCAGGTCCAAGTCGCCATTCAGGTGGCCCCCGGAGGTCGCTGCCTCTGCCACACCAGCCATGTTGCCTGAGAGAGCGTGAGAGAATGAGTCGTCGTCTGATCTCTTGACTGCTGCTTCCACGAATGTTGATAGTTGACCCTGTACAGGGTTTTCAAGGAGCAGCTGTTGGGTTTGAACTGCCAACCTTGTGGTTCACAGTCTAGTGATTATCTTACAGTGCCACACCAGGAGTCCAGTAACACTAGTAGTTGTAGGTAAAGTGACTGCAGGGTAGTTGTAGTAGTGTTGTTGCTAGGTACTATCCAATTGGTTCCATTCGTAGCCATCCCTGTATTCAGTTTCTGTGGCTGTAAATCATTGCAAGAGTGTAAAACCTCATCTTTCTCCTGTGGAGCAGCTGGTGGGTTTGAACTGTCCATCTTGTGGTTAGCAATCCAATACTTATCCTATAGCATCACCAACTCTAGTGTTGTTTTCGAGTCTCGTTCTGACTCACAGCCACCCTGTATAGGATTTCCGAGGAGTGACTGGTAGGTTTGAACCTCCGTCGTTGCAGTTGGCTGTCCAGTGCTTATCTTACAGTACCGCAGCAGGATTCCACCAGTGGTGCTGTTATTAAGTGCCTTTGAGTTGGTTCTGACTCATAGCAATGCTGTATAGGATTTCCAAGGAGCAGCTGATTGTTCTGAACTGCTGACCTTGTGATTTCACAGTCCAGTACTGATCCTACAGCCCCACACCAGGAGTCCTAGTTGTAAAAGTAGCTAACATTTGTTGTTTTTGTTGTTAAGTGCCATTCAGTTGGTTCTGACTCATAGAGACCCTGTGTAAGGTTTCTGAGGAGGGGCTGGTGAGTTTGAACTATTGATATTGCAATCCAAACTGACCTTGAAGTCTAGTGTTTATCCTACAGTGTCACACCAATACTCCAGCTAACATTGATTGAATCCTTACTCTGTAGAAGGCTGAGCACTCTACAAGGAGATCTTTATTAAATCCTTGAAACTACCTAAGAAGAAGTTCCTATAATTATCTTCATTTACAGATGAATAAACTGTTAAATACTCTGCCCAGATCACCTAAGTGTTCAGTAGTAAAACTGGAACTTAAATTCCCTCTGACTCCCCAGAAAATGCCCTTAACCAGTAGACGATATTGTATTATTTTCTCAGTGAAGAATTTGTGAGGATGGGTTAAGAGCAATAAAATTTGACCTTTAAAAAATCTAGCAAAGAAGTGAAAATCTGACATGAAGGACTTTAGAAGCATCCAGAGCCCCATGTGGGAAGAGTCAATACTTTCATTGTAGTGCCTTTGATGGCAAAAATAAACAAATAAGCCAGTGTTGTAGAGTTGATTCTGACTCATGTTACAGAGGTGCCAGTTGCCCTCTAGTCTGCTCCAACTCATAGTCACCCTGTATAGGGTTTCCATGGAGCTGCTGGTGTGTTTGAACCACTGACCTTGTGGTTCAAATGGACCTTTTGCTTCAGTGCTTATCCTACAGCACCACACCAGGACTCCTGTTACCCAGTTGTTGTCCTTAAGGGCCGTCAAGTCTGTTCTGACTTATAGCGACCATGTATAGGGTTTCTAAGGAGCAGCTGGTGAGTTTGAACTGACAACTTTGCTGTTCAAACCTGACTTATGGTCGAGTGCTTATCCTATAGCACCACACCAGCAGAACTGCTTAATAAGATTTTCGGGGAGTAGTTTTCACTGAAGCCGATTTTCAGGCTTTACTTTTTGATAAAACAAAACAAAACAAAACAAAAAATATGCTGCTCTGCCTAGGTGGAAGAATATATAGCTGAAATGTTCCTCAGCAAACAGGACATTACTTTGGAGTCTCATATTAGCCTGTGTTTTATAAACGTGCAGGTGAAGAATTTGACTCTGTGGCCTGTAGCTGTAGGAATAGAGGTATTCCCATGGCATGAAGGTTAGCAGGAAACCAAGTAGAAGGGTTGTCTAGAGCTTCAGCTTAGGTCAGTATTTGTGCATTATAGTAGGTAGTCACTCATCACAAATCTGCACTTCCAGGAGGCTGGGATGACAGAAGTTCCTTTTGGGAGAGTGCTGCTACTAAGCGCCATTGAGTAGGTTCCGACTCATAGTGACCCTGTATAGGGTTTCCAAGGAGTGGCTGGGGGGTTTGAACCACCGATCTTGTGTTTAGCAGTTCACTGCTAATCCTACAGCACCTGAGTGAAGAAACTTCCAAAGAAATTGTAAAACAATTCAAATGTATGTCTTTGAAAATGGCTATTTTATTGGAAACTGAGGCAGCATAGAATTCTTTCAGGGATAGGATGAAATAATACATAAAATTATTATTCTGGCCCCTTCTTCCTGCCAGTTCTTCAGTAACAATCAGCTGTTTGCCTCAACAGTCTCCTTTTAAAGGCCAAGGAGATTCATTTTGAAGGGAGTGAGCTCAACTTCAAAAATTTCAACTTTGATGTTAACACAAATAAATTCATTTGGGATGAAAACAAGAGATATGTTCTGCATTCCAGACTTCTAAGATAAAGACCTGATGATATACCCAGAAATTAGTTTTGTTTTGGAAAACATACCAAGCAAAAAGGAACTAGAAGTTTTGGAAGACTACGTGATGACCATTTGCTGAATAAACAAGACCTGCCTTATCAGTTTCAAATCAGTTTTGGTTAATTTACTTAAATCAAAATGAACTCATCAAACTGATATACTCAGTTCATAAAAGTCCTAAAATAAAGTTATGCTTTCCTGAGAAGCTTAAATCAGTTGAAATCACTTGCAGTGTCACAGTTGGGAGAAACACGCACAAATACACCTAAAAGCTTTATAAAAATGGTTTACGGTGTTCATTTAGATTCTGACCAATTTAAAACTGGCTTGCTCAAAGACATGCTCATTAGTTTAAATTAATTCAGCCTCATCTAGGTCTATGTAAAACTACTTGAATCAAGTGGACCATATAACCAAGTTTTCTTTCGTTCAAACTGTTTTTCACTGACTAAAACTACAAGATAAACTTAAATCTTTTTTACTGATTTTAAATTTATGTTGACAAGACACAGAGTAGCTAAGAACCAGCTGGAATGGTAAGGAGTAGGGAGAAAAAAAGGGAAAAGAAACTGAAAGAGGGAGTTTATTTCAAACCATTGGGTTTAGACTAAGATAGAAATATAGTTAACCTACAACTGAATAAGGAATTTATAACACAAATGCCTTTGGAAATTAGAATTTACTGATGTATTCCAAAGGTCTATGACACAGAAAGGATTGAAAGTATACTAAATAAGAAAAATGAGAGAGAACTACGTTTTGTTTTGCTCCCTACCTCCCCACTGTGGAAAAATAGTGGTTTAGTAGTCATCACTGTTGATCAGAAAAATTGTACACAGAAGGGATTTTGGCTCAGTGAATATTAGATGGGCATTTGGATTGCTTCTCTGGGATAAGAGTTGATTCAACTGTGAGGAACTAAAATTTCAACTGTATGGCCATTTCTGAAAAATTATCAAGTATACAAATGTGTACAAGTTAATTAGAGAAACTATAGGAAAATATAAAAGGACTAGATAACAGTGTACCAAAGGTATAATTATGGACAAGTAAAGTTCTTAGAATTACATGAAACTAAAAAAAGGAAGATTTTGAAAGTGGTAAGAAGGCAGAATTGGACAGGGACATCAGGACCCAAGAAACAAGAGAGTGGCAATTTCCCTGAGTTTTCTATTATCTTACATATAAGGAGGTTTCAGAAAGTTCATGGAAAAATCCCAGAATCTTTTTATTCCATTTTTCTTTGAATTTTTTGAAGCCTCTCATATCCTAGACTTAAAGTTGATAAGGTCAACAACCCAGAAATGCCAACCAGTTCAAACAAAATATAGTCCCCCCCCAAAAATGCTCTCTCCCTAATGATCAAAGCACACAGCCTAACAAGACAGAAAACTACAGTACAAATAATTGCTCTATTCCAGTTTAATCCCACCGAAATAACTATGATTCCACCCCTAACCATACCAACAAAGGACGTAGTAGAAAATTGCCTGGCATATACTATGAGGCAGACTAGAGTCATATGAATCATAACAAAATGAATAATATTGCAATGAGTAGGAATTCCAGAACACTTCTTTGTGTTTATCCAGAACCTGTACATAGACTAAGAGGCAGTTGTTACAACACAACAAGAGGATACTATGTGATTTAAAATCAGATAAGGTGTGTGTCAGAATTATAGCCTTCTACCATACTTAATCAATCTGTATAACAAACTCTGGTGACATAGTGGTTATGAATCAGGCTGATAATCTCATGATCAGCAGTTCGAAACTACCAGCTGTTCCACAGGTGGCAGATGAAGCTTTCTGCTCCCGTAAAGATTTACAGCCTCCGAAACCCTGTACAGGGTCCCTATGAATTGAAATGGACACCACAGCACATAACAACAACAACATTTAGCATGACTATGAAGAACTCAGCATGAAGATTCAAGGAAGGCTCATTAACAACCTGTGATATGCAAATGGCACAACCTTACTTGCTGAAAACAAAGAGGACTTGAAGTACCTAGTGTTGAAGATCAAAATGACTATCTTCAATGTGGATTACTACTTAATGAAAAGAAAACTTAAATCCTCACACCATTATGTTAAACAGAGGAAAGATTAATCAAGAATTTCATTTTACTTGGATCCACGATCAACACTAATAAAAGCAGTAGTCCAGAAATCAAACAGCATAATGCTTTGGACAAATCTGTTGCAAAATACCTTTTCAAAGTGTCAAACAGCGAATTTGTACGTTGAGGAATAAGACACTCCTGCCTGAAGGCTTGGTGTTTTTAGTTGCCTCATATGTATGTGAAGACTTGACAATGAATAAAGAAGACCAGAGAAGAATTGATGCATTTGAATTACACGGTTGGGGAAGAATATTAAATATATCATATCATTGGACAATGTTTTTGATATCCCATGTGAGTAAAATTTTGCTAAAGATAATACAGAAATGGCTACAGTCATACGTTGACAAAGAACTTCCAGAGGTTCAAGCCAGATTTA